ACATATGGAAAATACTAGTATCCATATATATCCCCCTTTCTAAGTAGACTAGGAGGCTAGTGTTCTAAAAAAACTATTATTACTAGCTCTTCCATCTCAAATTCATGGTAAACGCTGCTTTCTCATCTAAGTGGGGCTTTAAGTTTATCTGAACTATTATTAATTTGGTTTTGCTTCTTTACTAAGAAGCCAAATCAAAATAACAGTTGTTAAGATAAACTTAAGAGCCCCCACTTAACTTAAAACTTTGTAATTTTGTGGGCTAGCTTCTCCCTATTTGTTATTTATAATATTTGGTTGGTTGAAATAAAAAATTATATCTTCTTACTTTCATTGTCTGTCAACCCATAAACATGCAATGCTGCAACGGTTTGACAAATGACAACATGTACAAGTTCTACATGGAAGATTTCTAGGTTTTTGTGCTTAGTTTTAAGTTTATGCATGTGGACCACTTTTTTTTGTATATTACTATTCACTCAAGTCTTTTTATATTTTGTGTTTTCAACTACAAGGGTTAATTAAAGTTCACCTTCTAATGCATGGTAGATGTGGAGTATTACATGTTATTCTGTTTTTGTTAATGCCTTCAATTGATATATATAGTATACAATTGTACTATTGATATATTTGGTAGAATGAAAAGTTTCATGTTAAAGCATAGTTTGCATGTATGAGTTACCCCTCCAATATGGATAGAAATGAAAATTAACATTTCCCATGATCCATAAATCATAGATATTCAAAGAATTAAAAGCTAATTAAGGAACATTAGGTACTTGATAATAAACAATATGCATGGCTGCATGCTATGCATCTTCGCGAAGAACAGTTACTGGATTAATTATGATCTACCATTTCATACCAAAGTTGCTACAGTATAACCTTGTCCATTTTACATGTCAATACGTACAACTACAGCCGAAATATTTCCTGGTCATATGGGATAGAAAAAACCATGTAAATAATAGCTTTTGAAAACAAGTACTTAGAAGATCTCACTAGCTCCTATGCCTATCCATGCGCTTGGTCAGATCTTAAGTACTCGTCTCAATCTAGCCTCGTGTAACATACGTTTATATATAAACTATTTAACTCACTCTAGGTTGGTTTTTGTCTCCTTCAACGAAAGTGATAGCATAGTGTTGATTTCAGGAGTACTCCTTTGATGATTATTCTCTTCATCTACATCTTCGTTTTGGCTCAAACTAAGCTGCAAATCTGCCTTCCTTTCCTTATCCTTCCACCCTTTATCTTGTTTTAACTGAAGAAAACATGATTTGCGCATGAGAAAACTTGTTAGAATTAATCGAATCCTAACATATAACAAAGTAATCATCAGCCAAGAGAGAATGATACCTCAAGTAGAAATGCGGCTTTTGATTGTGAATTCAATAATGGTGTAGAATCATTGAAAGCTGATTGAGAATGATGCATCCTCGCTCTCTCTCTGTAATACTGTTGACATTGAGAAAGACCGAAAGGATCGGAGGTGGAACTGCTGGTGCAAATGGTTGTTATAGGTAACCATTTATCTTTTCTTTGATCCTGTGGCCACTTCTTCTCCTCAAGAAATTGGCTAGATCTCATAGTTCCATGGAATTTGTTTGCATCAGATGGCTTTTCTGGCATATTATTCAAAATATCTTTCATCATTTTGTTTCCATCTCCAAAATCTCTTCTCATCGGTGAAGACCCTTGAATTTGATTAGATAGCCATATTTGGTGCCTTTAGAGAGAGAAATAAACACACATGAAATATGAAACATGTCATGGGATGAAAAAAGTGAGTATTACTTTTGTTCGCATTGATACAATAGATCGCCTAAAAAAGATTTTAACCTAGTATATGTCAGTCATGTTTGGCAAACATGCATGACATAGGAACAAAAATTCCAAGTGTTTCGTTTCATTGAGTTGACTGAGGTGGAAAATACTCAAAATAATTAAGTTTCCATTTGGCATACCTCGATAAGAAATGGTGGATACCACGTGTTGGTCGAAAACCAGAATCATGAAGATGACTTCTGCAGTGATCATCACCCTCTTGTAAAGTGCTTGGTAGAACAATCCCACCATTTGCTAGTTTCAAATGTTGGAAGGGAGTACCTCTTGAGTACAAATTGCTATAAATATGTGGTCTTCCTTGCATCGTTTGTGTAGCCCTCTGAGATAATACTGCAGAAGCAACATATAATTTATTAAAATTGAAGGATGTCAAACATTCTTCAGCTTCAGTCTGTAATTGATCACCACATTCCAGGATTTCATGCCATGTTTTTTTATAGTAAAATATAAAAACTTTAATTGCATTATTACTTGGTTCTACCACAAATCGTAAACTAGAACAATGCAACTATAGACCTTTAAATTGCTCTACAACGATATTTAATGTTATCAACATTTTTGTTATCAACATTTGCTACTAGAATTACCAAAAAAGCTCTAATATTATCATATAAACTAAATGATATCTTAATTTTTTTAGAGCGATTAATTGAACCATTTTGTTATCAACATTTCTGCGGTAGATAACAAATAGGATTTTATTCATTTAATTTTATTACATTAGAATTGCAACATTTTTTTCTAAATGCTTCACGCACATTGTTACTTTAATTTGTAGGATAATTACAACATTTTTGCCCATTTATTGTTAATGTTATACATGAACTATTAATTTTGACTATATTTAACAGCAATTTTACCCATTTATTGGTTCAAACAGGTTTAGGTCACAATTAAATGGTATTTAAAACTAGACACATTGCAAAAACGTTTTGTTAAAACTTATTGTCACATGTCAAGATGTTAATGAGAAGGATCAATTATCTTTGTTCTATATATGTATGGTTTCTAGTAGCCTCTTAAACTTTCATATATATTATAAAGTATATACACTAGTATTTTTTCCTTAATGTTGTCTTTTTCCTATATCGAAGATCATGTCTTACCTTGTCCAGAATCATCAAGCTTCTTGCTTCTATACATCTGCCATTTAAAGGGTATTATTGATCAAAATCGGGAGATCAATTGGAGAATGTTAAGCTTTTTAATAATATTGTTGAATTTAGTTACCTGCAAATGACTTTTCACATGAGCGATACTTAGTCCTCTCACATTCATTAGATGAAGAACAGACTTCGGGGTTGCTTCTGCAGTTAAGCCAAAAACTTTTCATGTTTTCACTAAAAGATCATATCATTAATTATGTTTAAATTTATAATAAACGTATAATTATTTTATCGAGACAAAGAAAGACTTAGAGAATAACTTACTTTCTTGTCCACCAAGCCTTTCAATAGCATTAACAAAAGCATGATGGAGTTCAGGAGTCCAACGAAGTCTAGGCATCTTGGAGCGCACATATTGTCTAACCCGACCCTTTCTGTTCTTTGATGAACTTCCTTCTTCAAACTTCTGGTCATCTTCAAAACATGGATCAATATCTTCTTGGCTGCTTGCTTCTTCATTCAAATCAAATGATGTAACTTGCTTATTCATGGAAGAATTAGATGATGTGTTTCCTCCATATTGATCAAAACTAGGTTCTTCATTACTCCCTAGTGTATCCAAATCTCCTGACATTATTCACGTCTGTATCTATATAGAACAACTACGTCCAGGTTCTAAAGACGAGTTTCTGCAATATGTAATTAAGAAAAAGTTAGGCATAAAATGTGGTGTACACATTATATAAGGTAGCAGATGGGAAAAGAAAGAAGCAGAAAACATGAATCAAGGTATTTTAGAAAACAAAACTGTTAATTTTATTAACAAGAGTTTATGCAATAACAAGCCATGTAGGAAATTTAAGTTTTAATATAAATTCCAGTGGCATTTTATATATATAAAGAATTAGAACGATATGTCTTCTTTTTCACTTAATAGTATACTGCACCTACCCTGAGTATCATACTTAATTTAGTAGTTATGAATTTGAATTCAATATTTATAGTCTTTCATCTACTTGCATAAATTCTAATAACGGAAGCATCAATTTTGTAGTAAATCTCTTAGTATAGTTTCTTTGAAACTTTTGTATATAATAATTATGAGCCGTCAGATTTAGTCTCCTACTATACGCAAGTGTTTAGAATTGATCAAATCAAATAATAAGTGCATAAAGAATGTTAGAATTGATCAAATGAAATAATAAGTTGATAAAGAATGAATTAAGTGAAGGGGATGAACAATACGACAATTTATTTTTCAGAGGTATTTCACGTCCAGGATAAGTTGTCAAATACGAAATGATTCAGATCAACTTACGCCTGTCCTTTGGTGTTGCTTGAACCCTACTTCCTTTTTTTGAACAATAATCTTCCTTCTTCAACCCCTTCCAATTTTCTGGTCGATATGATGTTAGATTCTAGTTGCATTAGCAGCCCCTAAACAATTGAATTGAAGTCAACTGACCTTAAACGCAAAAGAGTTACCTTTATGCAGCTTCTTTTTCTATGAAAGAAAAGGCTACTACATAATAGAACTTAAGCAGGTGAGAAGATCATATGCTTTATATATATATATATATATATATAGAGAGAGAGAGAGAGAGAGAGAGAATTAAACATAATAAATAAATCGTTAATTGTATACAACCAAATCACTGTTGGTGGTTAAGGAACTGCAGGAAGAGCACAAAAAAAAGTCTAAAGTGTAACTAGATAAAAAAAAAAAACTATAACTCATCAAAATTGTTTAACTAAGCTTGTATATTTACGAAATTAAGCCAAAGATGAAGATCATGTTCTTTGATCTTTTTCCTTCTTCTTACAAGTATAGAGAAAGCATGGATGATATATATGTAAGTGCTTCAAACCATTCTTCTGTAATTAAAGACCTTCATGAACACTCCTTACCATGTTACAGAAACCAATCAAACGAATAAGTCACTGAACGACANNNGAGAGAGAGAGAGAGAGAGAGAGAGAGAGAGAGAGAGAGAGAGAGAGAGAGAGAGAGAGAGAGATATGTTTTATCTAGATTTTTATGATGTTTTAATTTGATTTAGAAATGGAATAAAACCATCACTTTTCCAAACCACCTCTCTCTCTCTCTCTCTCTCTCTATATATATATATATATATATATATATATATATATATATATATA